GGATTTTCAAAATTGTCGATTATCCTGGTTCGAAGTGACCAATGTTAAGGATCTATAGGAAATCCTGGGTATTTTCTCTTATTGTGTTATAAAACTGCGACTTGGTTTTGGATTTGAATTAAAATTAATTATTATAATATTTTGTGTTTTATTCTCGATGTTGATTGTATAAGAATTTATTGAAGACTATTACGTGTGCACCTATTACATAAAATTTAACATTGGAGGGGAATGCGCACATGCGCTCTTCAACCAACTACAAACTTATATAACATTTTACATTAATTGAAACGCTTAACAATTTGTTTCTATAACTTGCAATAAAATTAAATTTATTGATAGCTTAAATTATATGCCACTGCCTCTAAATAAATGCATTTAAATTTGACGAAGTGAAGACATATTTCCCACATTTATTTAATAAACGCGAAAATAATGATTATTTAGGTTCTTTACCTGATCCCTCTTTTTATATGCCCGATTTAATGACATCATATGCTCGAAATAAATTTTTCGAATGGTACACTGAACCAAAAGTTAGCATATATTTAAAGTAAAATTGCATTAAATCAATGAACATTTTCTTTAATTTTCAGCCAAAGAAAAAGTTTATTAATATAATGAATGTTTGTTCATAGATTCAAAGAACATAAATTCTTTAGGTCAAGGTCTACTTTAAATAATGCAAAGACAATGTTCATTGTATTACTGAACCGAAATTCATTAGTTTGATGAATACTTTCATTAATTTAATGAAAGTTTGTTCATAGATACAAAGAACATAAATTTATTAATTTAAAGACAATGTTCTTGGTATTAATGAACAGATTTTCTTTAATTTGATGAATACTTTCATTCATATTATGAATAGCATTCATTGGATATGTGATCTGCATTCTTTAACTTTATGACCAGGGTTCGTTATATACATAAACCAAAATCGTCATCTCAATGAATAATAATCATTAATTATATGTAATGTTTCATATACAGCTCGTTCAGACTAAAACCGAATATATCTATATATATATGGGGCGTGACCTCGCCTCCCTCCAACGCGCGACACAGTAGCTAAGCAAATAGACTGCATCGCTAATGAGATTTTTGCATTATTATCATTTAATTTTTTAAGTCCTTACCTGCTCGACCTTTCGTTATGTCGTTTATCACACAAGCAACTGTGACGCGCCTTGGAGGGAGGCGAGGCCACGCCCCATATATATATAGATATATTCGGTTTTATTCTGAACAGGCTGTATTTTATGAATGAATGAATGAATTATAATTAATTATTGGAAATTTAGTATTAAATGGAAATTTTATAAATAAAACATTGCAATTTTAATTATAATATATATTTGGAATTAAAAACTAAATAAAATGTTATAAAATAAAAATGTGGAATTTTTTGTTAATAATATTTAAAAAAATGGCTATTGCAAACTTTCAATAATAATTTGAACTTTAGAAAATTTGTTTTTGGGAGCAAATTTAAAAAAATAAATTTCGATAAAAGAATAAAACATTTTGGATTCTTCTGGAAATTCCAAATCAAAGAGATAAGTTAGTTTAAAGCACAAATCTAGGGCACGTAAAATTTTAGTAAATTTATACCTAATATTATTAAAAAAAATCATAATATCTTCAACTGAAAAGATGTCCTTGCCGATGGTGTAAATGGATGGTTGTATTGTTACTTTGGTTCTTTTTAAATGAGAGATATGGTCTTCTACTTCTTGCGCACTGTATCCCACAAAAATTACTGCCTCTTGAGAGTCTTTTATAGTAAACTTAGTTATATTTTTTTTTCCCGTTACTTTTTGATCAATTTGGTTGTAGGTACGAAGTAACCGTGTAGAGGCCAGATTATTGCAGCGTTTCGCCCATCTGTAAAGAAGTAACATATGTATGTACTTATGTTGGGCCATACTAATAGAATAAAAATACTTACTTTCAGAAATAGAAGAATTGTTTAAATTTTGTAAAAGCGCTTTTACATTTTTATCTTTTACATGATTATCTACCATTAAAAAGGAAACAATTCTATCACAATTTGTTTCCCACTGTTTCAATAAGCCATCCTCGTTTCCAAAAGCCATCTTGAAATCAATTTCGATCTGAAACACAATGATTGAGAAAAATATAAATAAAATGTGTGCAATTATTTAACCAGTCGAATTTATAAAACGGGAATTTATCCATTACTTCTTCGGTCGTGTGCAATTTGATATATTCCAGTCTGAACTGGCAACAGGCTTTCCATGTATGGTCAAACTGTTCTGACATTAAATTGTCAAATTTCAGTGCCCGAAGGCAGCTCTCAGCATCCGTTTCAGGTTCTAAAATTTGTTAAGATATAAAAACAAAAGAAAAAAACAATCCTACCAAATGCTTTGTCAAGCCTGCTTAACTTTCTCTCTGTTTTCTTGTTTTTAGTTTTTGTGTTTCCAGATATACACTTTAACGAAGTTTTTAAGTTTCCAAATTAACTAATTAATAAGCTTGGAAATAAATAATTATTGCTAATTGTGACTTACCTCTTTAGGTGAACAGTGATCGCTAATCACACATTTAGGAACAAGTACATGCATACATAAAAACTTTTTGCAACTGAAATAGGAAATATGTGGAATCTGATCTTCTTTATTAAAGTGGAGGGGGGCGTTTAAAGAACCTGTTCTTTGTGTGCAAGAATATATTCGTTAATAGTAAGAAAAAACTTCCCTGGCAACGTAATTCTTTATATTAATGTTTAAATATTTTGATGCAATACAACGTGTACGTTAAATTAAAGATTTTTGTTCGTTAATGTTATGAATAATTCATTATTTTTTTGAATGTAAAATAAGCAACAAATTCATTGATACAATAAAACCATTCGTTGTGCCAATGAACACTTCATTGTAATAAGGTAATTTTTTCGTTATTTTGATGATCATGTTTTTCTTGTGCTAACGAACATCTATGCATAATATTGATGAATTTGCTTGTTAATCCATGAACAGTGTTTATTTGAATCAATGAAAAAATTCTTTATTTCAATGAAAACATGGTTAATGAAGGGCGTTCTTTAATAATATGACCAATATTTTTTTCAGTGTATAATAAGCAAATATCGAATAAGGTTGTATTTTAAAAATGAATTAATTAAATACTGCATCTTAGATGTGGATATTTTACGGAAGTCGTGCATTAAATTTCGCGAGAGTTTTATTAAAGTTACAAATATTGATCCATTCCAAGATGCCACAACAATATCTAGTGTATGCAATAAGGTATTTAGGCGCAATTTTTTGCAGCCTGAAACCATAGGAATTATTCCTCCTAAGGGTTACAGAATGAATGTTGAAAAGAATCTTTATTTCCCGATATTATTCATGCCGGTAACGGTCAAGAGATTGGACTTAAAGAAAATCTCACAGTTGATGGTTTTTGTGCGACAAAAAATACAGTTTTCAAATTTGATGGCTGCTACTTTCATGGATGTGAAAAATGCTATCCGCATCAAACAACATCCTTTCAAAATACGACAGACAAAAACGATTCAATGCTAAGCAATAAAACTATAGCGAAACATCAAACAATTAGAGATGCCGGGTATATTTTGTAACGATTAGAGAGTGCGATTTTCAAGAGATTTTGAGAAATGATGCGGAATTAAGAGATTCTGTAAATAATAATTTTAAATATTCACAGCTGCCATTGAATCCGAGATACAGTTTTTTTGGTGGTCGTACAAATGCTATAAAACTGTACCATAAAATATCAAACGACGAAGAGAGCATTCTTTACTTCGATATCTGCAGTTTATACCCTTTTATAAATAAATATAAAAAATATCCAATTGGTCATCCTAAAATTCATATCGGCAATGAAGCGTGCAGGAAATTACCTCTGGATACGGTAGAAGGTCTTATTAAATGTACTGTGATGCCACCTAGACATTTGTATCACCCTGTTCTACCGTATAAATGTAACGGTAAATTGATGTTTCCCTTACGTAAAGCTTGTGAAGAATCATTGAACCAGGAACAATGTATGCATACAGAAGTGGAACTTCAATTTACAGGTACATTCGTTGTCAATGAATTAAGGAAAGCGATTTCCTTAAATTATAGAATCTTGGAAATTTATGAGGTATGGGAGTATAAAGTTAAGCAATTCGATAAAGACACTAAAGCTGGGTTCTAACAGATAAATAAAGTAATATAATTTAATTTAACTTTAAAAGTAATTTAATTTTATTTACTCGCGTTCATACAACAAGTAATGTAATTTAATTTAACAGAAATAGCCAATGAAATCAATTCTTAAGATTCTGCGCGCTAGTGATGTGTCATGCGCGTTAGTTTGTACCATTGTTTACACTTGTTGATTTTCTGTTTGTTTGATTTAGTAAGTTTTTTTAGGAGTGTGATTTGCCATTTTTATAAAAAAAAAATAGATGACGGTTTATTAATCGAACAGGTGTCTGGATTTCCGGCACTTTTTAATAAGTCTGACAAGCGCTACAAATCTAAATTGGATAAAGAGGCAGCTTGGCGCACAATTGGGGACATTTTGAATCAAATGCGTAGGTATTCTTTTTAAAATAAAATTTCATATTGCAGCTGAAGTATGTGAACAACGGTGGGTCTTGTGAGAAACAAGTATACTAAATTAAAACGGGAAATAAAAGCAACCCCCTCAGGTTCCGCAGCATCTCAGTGTACTTGGCCCTATTTTGACATGATGGGGTTTTTAGATCCCTGTTTAACCACCAGAAGGTAAAGTTTACTTAAAATAGGTAATTTATATGTTTTTATTATCAAACTGTAAGGGATATTTTAAAATGTATCATTAAATTTAAATTTTGGTCTAAATATGCTTAACTTTTTTCAATCAGATTAATATTTTGAAGTTAAACTTTAAATTTTATATTGTAGAAGTTGTACTAAAAATTGGACAAAGCCTGTAAATAAAAAAGTATAAAAGAATAATTTGTCACAAGAATTAAAGAAATGCTATTATTTACAGAACTACTACAAGAAATAAGAGCCCAGAGTCCACCCTCTAGCCCTTTTATTGCATGGGATACAATGTCTCAAATAACATCAGATTCTGCATCCGAATCGAACAGTACGGGGCAGACACCCCTTTTTACAACTTTGGATAATGAAACTCCATCTACATCAAGCAAAGTTCCAATACCCAGAAGAACAATGCCAAAGAAAAGGAATGCCCAAGAAGCTATGATCGAAAAAATGTCATCATGCTTTGATAATTTAAATAAAAGGGTCCAGTCAGCTCCTACACCAGAGGAAGACCTGCATTTTGCAAATAGTTTAGCGCACGATATGAAAATTTTAACACCATTACAAAAAACTCAATTAAAAAGGACAATTTACGAACTTTTGGAAAATACTGCAAGCAAAACTTTGTAAATTTTTATTTTGTGTATATCTTGCTAGACAATAGAGTAATTGCCTTTATAAATTAGTTTTTTGTTTTTCCCAAAAAAGTTTTTTTGATATATATAACTAGCAAGATACACACAAAATAATTTTTTTTTATTATAGGGGCATTCCACGTTACTCGGTTATTTTTGTCCCGCCCTTCACATTCATTAAAAATTGTGAGTAAAAACCACAAGTTATTAAATTAATATTTTATATTATTTTTATTCTGCTTAAAACTTATTAAAAACATAATAAACAATATTTTAATAGTATATTTATGTATCAAGTTTGATAAACGCCATTTTATACACGAATATAATTTAGGCACGAGCGAGCTCGCGAGCGAGTTCTTAAATTAATGAGTGTATAGAAAAGTTTATAAACGAGGTGCATACTATACTTTTTCTACGACAAATACTTGAATGATTTAAATCAAAAATTTGTATAGAGCGCCATCTATGAAACAACAGGGGAAACTGTCAAATGTCACATTTTTAAATTTTATAAACACACTTATAAAGGTTATAAATCGAAATGTATATTGAAAATTGACAGCTTTTCACAGTGAAAGTAAAGGAAATGTTTTATGAGGACTTTACAGTAGAGTCTGTGCCCGAATTTAAGTTATAGTTTACTGCCGGCGAAATTAAAAGGTCAGTACAATGTTCATATAAACTTTTCAAATATTGGCGTTAAGAAACTATTTAATATTTTTGTATTTTTGTATTGAGATAATAAAATAATTTTCACACTTAGTATTATTTTACAAGAAAGGCACTTTATTTTAACGATTGTATGACATTTGACAACTGTCAACTAACTTAAAACTAACTTCAGCCCGTGACTAAAAACCTGTTGCTAACTTCAGCCCGTGACTAAAGCGCCGTAAAGCCACAACTTGTCAATGTGTATTTAAAAGGTCACTTAGTGTCATGGAAACATGTACGATGAAGGGCGTTTTAAAGGTGGGAGTAGAAAAAATAAATTTTATATCGTGTAGTTTTTACTCACAATTTTTAATTGTGACGGGCGGTACAAAAATTCCCGAGTAACGTGGAATGACCCTATATGCCTTAAATGTATTGGTTTATGTTTCATGTAAAATGTTTTTAATAACAATATTAAAGACTGTTTTTAATAAATTGTTTTATTATTTATAAAAAAGATTTAATTAAACAAGTATTTTTTTATTCAAAAGAAAAATTTTCTGGAACGCCACCTGCATACACTCTATATCACTGGTATGTCAAAGCTCCAACTGACGACATAAAATAATCAGCCAATATGTTATTGCTGCACACTGGATGTGTTATTAGACCCCACTCTTCCAATGCCTCTTATAACGCCATCAGCCCGCCATTTTCCATCATGAAAATTTCATTTACAGGCATATCCTGCTCGCTCTTCTGTATGTAATTATGAAAAACAGTTGTGGCTTGAATAATTAACTGGCAGTTTTCCTCATTGGCTAGAATGGTGCTGCGTAGCCGCCGCCATCGTTGAGCTAATATCCCAAATGTATTTTCTATTGTTCCCCTTACTCGAGAAAGTCTCAAGTTGAAAATATTTTTTCTGTCATTTAAAAATGAGCCGGGAAAATTAGTGTGCAATCAGCAAAAAAATGTGGCATTATTTTATTACTATTAGGAAGTGCAGCTGGTGGAGGAATTGGTAGGGTCCCATTCATTAGCGCTTTTCCATAGTTTGACAAATTAAAAACGGCTGAATCATGGTTGGAACCAGCAGCGCCAATATCCACATAAGTGAATTTATAGTATCCATCACATGCAGCCATAATGATCATACTAAATGATTTTTTGTATGAAAAAAATGTACTTCCTGAATGCTGTGGGCACTGAATGTTGACATGTTTGCCATCAATGGACCCTATACAATTGGGAACATTCCATCTTAAAAATTTGCCACATTTTTTAAATCTTCGACTGAAGGTTCTGGCAAAACAATTGGAACCAAAATTTTCCTTAAAATATCACAGGTTTCCTTTATAATATAATGAGCAGTGCTTTTCCCATATATAATATTATATATTAATATAATTATTCCATGCAATTTCTTGCATTGAGCAACCCTCCGATAAGTAGTGCAATGTCAATGCAAGACGTTGGCGTGGTGATATTGGATTTTTACTTTTGCTTCTGCTTAAATGGGGTTGCAGTAAATTTAAGAGATGCTGGAACATTTCAGGGGTCATTCTCGTATACTTAAAGAATTGGTCCCGATCATGCAAAGCAGAAAATTTGACGATTTTTTTCGTAGACACTATGCTGGTTACGTTGTCGATTCATTGGTATTACTTTAAAACGCCGTGTTCTTTTCTTAATTAAACCGAATGCAACCACCGAAGCCGATAAAAGCATTGAATAAAAAAGTAGATCTTCATCATTCATCTAAAAATCATAAATATAAATTTTCAAACGTCTTCAATTAAAAACAAGACAATGAATACCTTAGCAATTACAGTTTAAATATTAAAATAAAATATTAAAATCACACAATATTAAAAGCATATAACAAATAACAAACACTTGTTTACACAAATAGCTAGGTTAGATAATATTGATTTAATGTCAACATTATGCAGGCATGCGCATCGATTGAAAATAGTACGAAATAACCTTGAAGTAACGTAATTTAATTTAAAAGATATAAGTTGGCCAACTATTAAATTAGGTCTTAAATTACATCGCTGTATGAACGCTACAAAGGATTCTTGGGTTTTCAACTTTTAAGTTAAATTAAATTAAATTACTTTTCTGTTAGAACCAGGCTTAAGTCGGGAGGCCTATTTTCAAAATATGTTGATACGTTTTTGAAAATAAAGCAGGAATGCAGCGACTGGCCTAAATGGTGCAATACAGATGAGGATAAAATTTCATATATTGTATCCTATTTAGAACGTGAAGGCATAAAATTAGATAAGTCCGAAATATGTCATAACGCGGGTTTGAAATGTATTGCCAAATTAATGCTAAATAGTTTCTGGGGTATGTTCGGTCAGAGAGCAAATTTGATGCAAACCGCAGTAATCACTAAACCATTTGATCTATTTACCATGTTAACTGACCCTTCTGTTATTGTTAACAATATGGTGATTGTTAGTGATAAAATGCTTCTCATATGTTGGAATAAACACGAAGACGCTATTTTACCATTAAACACCGTTAATGTTGCTATAGCAGCGTATACCACGGCTATGGCGCGATTGGAGCTTTACTCATATTTAGAAAAACTTGGTAAACGAGTACTTTACTTTGACACAGATAGTGTTATATTCACGTATAAAAAAGGTGAATGGAAACCCGTAAGTAGGTGACTATTTAGGCATGTTAACAGATGAAGTAGCTGAATACGGTCCTGGCAGTAAAATTACGTTTGTTAGCGAAGGGCCTAAAAATTACGGCTACAAAGTTTATATTGCGAGTACAAAAGAACACTGAGAAAAGACGGTTGGTTTTTAATAATTGCAAAAATTTGTAGATGCATATAAAGCACAAAACACTATAAAATTATGGCAATAATATTTCCTACAATTTTTATAAATATTGGTACATATTGCAGCAAATATATAAAATAACTTAAACAATTGTATTACATTGTAATATGAGTTTTTATTAAAATTGTAGCAAAGTTTACTATTTATCAGTAGTATATTTAACGTTATGTATTGTTTTCTAGTAAATTTTACTACAATTTTATGTTAATTTTGCTCTGTGCTTTACCGCCTTCCAGAAAGTTGGGGTCATTTATTATACCTTAATAGTTTGATGAACACAAATATCTCCTTAATGATTTTACTTACCTAATTAGCAACATCTTAATTCCCCCTTCCACCTTCCAACCAGAATAAGTTTATGGGGCGAAGAATGAAGAGCGAAGGGACATGATTTACGGCGGCGAGCTTTGATTTCGGCAAATCATACGCGTCCCGTTTTTTATTCGAATATACAGGGTGTGCCAACAAGGCGTACGGCTAAGATAGCTCATAAACGGTAAGAAATATAAAAAAGTCTTAAGCAAAAATAGAAGGTTAACAAAGATCTATAAATTAAAATTAGTTTTTAGTCTACAGGGTGGGTCACAAAAAAAGTATGAATAAATTATATTTTTTTAATCGAACACCCTGTATATTAATTAAGTGTCTCATCATCTGACGCTGCAGAGAAAGAGCTTTACTCTAGTACTTCGTTTGTTAAATTCCAGTACGGCGTTTCCCCGTAATTCATTTTTTTCTATAAAAAACGTAGGCAAACAAGATTTTTGCCATAGTTAACAATTAGGACCTGGTATATTTAAAAAATATCACCCTGTATAGGTATCAGGTCCTTTAGGTTACCTATGGCAAAACTCTTGTTTGCCTAGATTGAATCTGCAGGTACCTACATACCTAAATATACATATACAATGTATATGTATGTATATTATATATACACATGTACATTTGTATGTATATTATACATACATATGTACATACCTACGTTTTTTTCAAAACATCGGAAAAAATTCATTACGCGGCTATGCCGCACTGGAATTTAACAAACGCAGTACTAGTGTAAAACTCTTGCTCTGCCGCGTCAGATGATCAGATAATATACAGGGTGTTCCATTAAAAGAATTATATAATTTAATCATAACTTTTTTGTGACTCACCCTCTATACTTATAAACTAATTTTAATTTATATTTCTTTGTTAACCTTGCATTTTTGCACTCTTTTTATATCTCTTACCGTTTATAAGATATATTGGTGGTACGCCTTATTATTTCAAAAAAATATTTTTCCCTTTTAGGTCCTTAAAATAAAAAAAATAATAATAAATAAGTAATAATGGGTTAGTATGTATAAAACCAATTGCTTTTTATATGTTTTATTAATTTTGTAACTGATTTTTGGATTTTAACCTCATACTAATATACTATATATATTATACTATGTATATGTAAGATATACATATATTCAATAAAAAA